TACTGCAAGATTTCACTCGTGCATCCCCGTCGAGGGGTGAATATGACTCGGCCCTACAGTCAGCAAAAGGACAGGGTTCCACTTAGATGTAATTTCCTTCTCGAGCTTCGAGAGGAAATTATCACCATACCGAGAGGGTGAGAAATTCACTACGAACCGAAGATATGAAAATAGAGATAGAAAACCGCCATTCCGCAGCACTCACAGGAAACTAGTGGTGTCTTCTGGAAGAAGTGTCACAGATGTGTCTAAGGTAAGTCTCAGATGCTTCTCAGATTACCATCCTTGCTGTGGTTGTCTTGAATACGTATTCGATTTTCAAAGTGAAAGGAGCATGCTTCGCTTCGCATATTAGTTCAACCTCCCCCCCCCCCCCCCCCCAAAAAAAAAAAAAAAGGAAAAAAGAAATTGGGGCTGTCCTCGCCCCCATTCATCCCTCAAAGTTCGCCGTGATTCGGTCGTCTGCAATCTGGTCGACTTGCCCCTTCCATGCATCATTTCAATGCAAATCATTTCCTTTCTTTCTTCCCTTTCCTCTCGACGAGGCACTTTCCGTCGTGGGGAAACTAAACGAGTCCAACAGAGTTACGTTAAATAGTTACGTTACCCTTCCAGGTAATGTAACTATTTAACTGGCGTTCGGTGATAAATTGCATTGCAATGCATATGATAAGTTCATATAATAATCTCCTTTAAGTCTCGAACAGGTTCTCTGCATTGAACCGATTCTCTGCTCTAAGCATTGAATTGATTCTCCATCGTTCTGATCGGCCTTATTCCATTTCCCCCAAGAGTCTCAACAGCCTGTCGATCGCAAGGTGAACCGTCCCCACCTCAAGGTGAGGAATGTGAGAAGGGGCGAGAAGGGGCGAGGTCATGATCTCCGATGGAAGAGCCATGGATAAGCCATGGACAAGCCAGATTTACTCTCTGAATCGGATTTGAATGGGATTTTTTTGCATCAATTCCTTCTCCTCTTTCATCGATCCTCGCCAAATTCTTCAATTTCATTCAGTGACATAGCAGATTTCCATGGATAGCGTTGTTTTCACATGGGCCTTGTTTTTCTCGGGCTCGATCCTCATCTTGGATGACTTGGTCTCGAAACAGACTCTCTCCGGTCGAATTTTCTATTTGAGGAGCCATTGCGTCTCTCCTCCAGTCGTACAATCTGTCGGTTTAGTTGCTACTTTCAGAGTTTCTTAAATGAAAAGCTTCTTGTCTTGGTTGATACTGTCAATGATTCCATGCTTCCCACTTTTACCGTTAAAGTTCGTCTTGGAAGAAGAATGAGAAACATATTTACATGTGTTTCCCCCAATATTCCAAAGTTTTCTCTTACTTTCAGCACTCGACAGAGTGGAACCCCTGAAGCTACTGCCTCCTAGCGTGAAGAGCGTGAACTAACGGTTCACCCGCCGGAGTAGAGATGTCAGGACGGACTCGGTATCGATCCCCATCATGGCTCTCCCGACGACAAGCGACCACGGAACTCCCACTGTCGCTCCCTCCCGGAGGAACCCATCCGCGATGGAATGACGCCCTCCCACGACATCCACCTCGGTGCAGCCGCCCTCCTCCTCGGTACGATCCACCTCCCTTCACCCTCCACCTTCCACCCCCCACCTTCCACCCCTTCCTCGCCTCGAGCAATCACTCGAGCTCTCATTTCCACCTCAGGGCTGTGCGCGGTGCAGATCCACGGCGTGATGAAGGTCGGAAACGAGAGTGGTCTCGGACAGTGCTTCGTCTGCCACTCCATGAATCAGAGCCAAGGGGAGAAGTGCGTCGACCTCAATCTCACCGCGTTCAACGTTCCCGTCGAAGACTGCGCCCCCGATTACTGTTTGGTAAGTCTCACACGTGCGCATTTGTTGCCGAAAGTCGAGGCCAGCCCGGACGAATCGCGGTCGACATGGCGTAACCTCACCGCGGAACTCGCTAACCGCCTAACGCATTTACCATGGAGTCATGGTTACATTCGGTAACGCGGTAACCCTCCGGTAACGTTTCCCGGCCGAGACGGGTTCCGGCCAAATTGGCAGGCCATTTTCTGTCGTGTTCCGGGTGCAGAGTCCTTTGCTTCCGGAATATTTACCAGTAAATTGCAAATAGCTCTAATTTTTTAAATGTTTAATTTATTTTTAAAGTGATCTTCGACTTCAATCGTTCTTTGTCGTGTGCGTGGTTAGGATCTAATGTGATTCTTGGTACTTGTGGTACATTAGTGATCCTTCGCGGAAATTTTTTCTGGCGGATGAAGGGAGCTTACCGGCGTTCAACTTATGCTCGAGGGCGGAAATTGGTTTTATAATTTTTTTGTAGTCGAGGTTTTCTTATTTTTTTTTCAGCCCCTTCGAGTCTCACAAAGCAATCGTCAGTTTTATGCAATAAATTTCGATTCTGACGAAAAAATGGAGAAATCGCAAAAAGACATTCCCCGTGTCCAGGTCCGCCGTTACAAGTACGCCATCCACAACGACACCCAGAAGTGGCACACGTGGGCCGTCCGTCGGAACTGCACCGACGAGTGCCACCCCGGCTGCGTCCTGATGGGCCAGCGGACCAAGATCCACATCTGCACCTCCTGCTGCACCACGCACCTGTGCAACGTGGGGGACCAGGCCCCGTCCGCCCTCGGCCCCCAGCGGCTCCTCCTTCTGCCCTCCTTGGTGGCCGTGACCCTCCTCGGCACTTGACTCGAGCGAGGTCGAGTGAGGTCGAGCGAGGTCGAGTGAGGTCGAGGGAGGTCGAGTTTCCTGCGTTTCGCTCCGAAGCCCCGAAAAAGACGTGCAGTCTCGGTTTGTGCAATCTCAGTCTTCGCGTTTAGGATTTTCCAGGACAATAAACTTGTTTTTACCCCGCATTTGTTTACGTTGTTCGTGGAGACAGTGTTTCACCTGACGATAACGTGGATAACGTGATTTTTCGTCCCGAGAAGAAGACCATTTCTCAGCCATTCTCGCCCCTCTTGATATCCTGGAAATTTGCGAAGGCGGACACCAGAGATGAACGAATCAAACCTTTCTTTGTGAGTCAAATCGAATCGGCACGATTTCGAAAGGACTGCTGGACCGAATGCTCCTCGCGGTTTTTTAGGCCGACCCACGAATCCGGACTGAATCTTTTCAAATCTGAATTTATCGAACTCGAATCCGTCAAATATAAATAAACCAGTCGGCGAAGTTTGCGTTTTCTCCTCAGAATCGAACATCATGGAAGCAATGACGCAATTCCTGAGCATTCTCCGTTCGGGTAATCCATTTTTAAAGTATCCGAACTCATTAGCGATTTTCCAGTTCGAGCCAGTATCCACCTCGCCTTTTGCGATGTGCAACGACATTGCTCTGCCTATTAGAATAATAATATTAAATATTCATTCGACAGTATGACCGCTACGTCGTCGTTCGACAGCTTTCGTCCTGGCAAGGTGAGCGATTCCAGCGGCCTTCGGCGTCCGCTACGAACGAGGCTGTCCGCGTGCTCTCCCTCCGATCCCGCGCCGAGAGATCACGTGACCCCGTATCGAACCAACCAGGAAGGCGAATCTGCCGGCGGAAGATGCACGTGGCGAGAGTCACGTGGTTGCCTTCCGATGCCCGCGCTCTCCCTCGTGGGTGACGATCCTTCTCGTGGGGGGTGGAATGGGTCCTGTGGTCACCCTCGCTGAGTGGATTTGGTGCAGTAGTCTTTCATCCGTGTCACCTTTTTTTTTATAGGATTCCGGATAGAATATCTCTGCAGAGGCGTGTGCGAATACAAAGCGATGACAAGGAGTTTAGTGACACGAAGGCGTTCATTCGAGGTCGCGACATAACTATTAGTGGGGGAAAAGAAGACTCGAACGCGTGAGTTTAAAGAGGACTCCATTCATGCTGATTGAGGTCTTTATTGGTGCCACTTATTCACTCATTGGCTTTTACGACCTTGAAGTGACTCATCCGAGGCGGCGACGTGGATGTCGGCCAAAAAAATAGGGAAACGCCTTTTTGGAATTTATGTTGGCAGCTAGTACCCACACGCCAGGTGAAACTGTAGATTTCTCCTGCACGAGAATTCGAGCCCTTGCCATGGCGACAGACAGGCACTCGGGAGGCGTGAGTCGCGTGGAATGCGGTGGGCGTGAGCGGCGTGAGCTCTCGAGCGTTTCTCGCCCCGCAAAGTCGAAGGTTGTCGACAAACGAAGCCAACTGTTGGATCGTAAATTCGTTATTGCATCAACGTACGCGTTCCCAACGTGGAAACGAGTGCGTCGGTCGCCCCTTCCGTCTACCGACCGTCGACAAATGAATCCATTCGGAAGATCTCGTCACCTCTTCTGTTTATTTCTCGGAGTATGCCTGATGAATGCGAGGAGTGATAAATGCACCGCGGCCCTTCCCTTATCGCGCCCCGTCGGGACCTATCATCGCAAACACTCGCCCGTTGCACACGGCATCTCGAGTCCAGACACGAGTTGGGGGATGGGGGGGGGTGCTCCACTTTAAGCTTGGCGATATCGTCCAGTTACTCCGTTCTATGAAGCTCAACTGAGCAACTCAATTTCGATCATTTGTCAAATATTTTATTGATTTTTTATTATCGTGTCGAGTCCAGGCTTGCGAAGGTGGCCTCTCCTGGCCTCTCTTGGCTTGTCTTGGCCTTTCCTTTCGCATCGTAGTGAAACTCGTGTGAATATCGAGTGGGAGGAAATTATATTTCAGCTTCGGATTATCATAAACAGAAGCGGATCTCGGATCACATTCCGGAGCGGGCGGCTCCAGAGACTAGGCAAAAAAATCACAACAGAAACACAGATACCTTATGATTCCCCCAGGGTGTTTAAACGATTTTTAACACCTTTGAGAGCAAGAAAAAGGTTTAAAATGTTTATTCTCCCTCCTTCTTCTCCTTTTCCTCCTTGTTTTCCTCCTTCTTCTCCTCCTCTTTCTTCTGGCTTTCCTTGATCATGGCCGGCTGGTTGGTCTGGGTGATGGGCACGACTCGCTCGTTGCTCCCGCCCTCGATCGCCTGAAATATCACGAGGAAGTTTACATCCGCGCGGTTCCGCAGGCGAAAATACGACATCGATACTCGATAAATTGTTTACACGATCTATTTACAGAATTTACTGTTAAATAAACACCGGGGAGACAGACCATCTTGGCCGCGGAGACGGTGAGAACCCCATCGGACGAGAGCGAGGACTTGACGTCCTCCGCCCTCACGTTGGCCGGGAGGAGATACCGGCGCAGGAACTGCCGCGAGACGAATCCGTGCTCGTCCGGCTTCTCCTCGTGCTTTCCCTCGATGACGACGGAGTCGCCGACGGTCTTCACGGTGATCTCCTCGGGGGCGAACTGCTGCACGTCGAGGCTCACCTAAGGGAGAGAGGGAGGTTCGTCGAGGTTCGTCGTGTCGCCGAGAGATGGCTCTGACGGCTCGTTATGAGCCTTCTCGGTATTGGATGCTGCCGAATCGATTGCGGTGGGAAACGGTAATCGCGCCAGAGAAATTGGTCTCGATCGCCCCACATGAAGACGAATGGGCTCTTATCGCGTGCGGGAATTTTTCCTTTTAAAGGGAGGGGCCGTTTATCGTCTATCTCGCGCTACGTGAGAAGCACCGAAAAACGAAGATCCTACCTGAAACATGTCCTTGTCGTTGACGACCTCGCTCACGCCCGACCTGGCCTGCTCGCGATGCGGACGCCGAGGTCGGAGATAGAACGGGTGGTAGAAGGTCGGGGAGAGGAGGTCGTCGGCGTGGAGGCCCAGGCCGAAGTGCTGGTCGAACACGCGGGAGACGGGATCGAGCTCGTCCCACCAGTTGCGGCGGGGGTGCAGGCCCAAGTGGAACATGGCCATCTGCGGGGCGGGACGGCTGTGATGGATGCGGCGCGGGGTGAAAGGTTGTTTATTTCTATATTCCAATGGAAATGCGCACTTACGGCGGGGAGCGGAGATGTGAGCGGTGCGGTGAGGTTGTAACGAGTCGGTTCGGATGCTGGAACTGGTTCAGCGGGGATCTGAGCACGCAGGATATATGGAGCGGAGCCGGTTATCTAGCTTTTTCCTGGAGGGTCCAGAGTACTGAGGCGAGTTCTAGAAAATTCCCTCTTGGAAACGGGAAGAGAGGCGGAGTACTGGAATCGTGTACTTTACCGGTCCACGAACTGAAGCGTCCCGCAACCAAGCAGATGGCGTCGTCCCCGGCCTCCCGCGGGCACGAGTGAAGACTGGGGAAAGGAGGTCTCTATTTCACAGCTGTTTTTCCTCAGCCAATCGGAACGCTTTCCGTGGTCCCAGTCAAGGTCTGTCGAGGCGCTCTCCGGAAAGTTCTGCCTCGTTTGCATTTTCCTTGTCATGAGTATGCGTGGTACACGAGGCATTCGTTTTCCTCTCCACACCCTTAATTCCAAGTGGGGTGTCGACTGGTCTATGTTAAGAAAGAAGCATTAATCCACTCTGACGTAGGCCTGGCAATGTCCCCCTCATGGGGCACGTGTTAGGCCTTTAGGCGTCACCATGGGCCTTGAATCCCCAGATTTTTTTTTTTAAATTATTATTAGCTACTCGGTATTTCATGTTGCTGTAACGGAAAAGGAAATTTCAAGGGAGGAGACCGACTCTAACCAAATGGTTTAACAGAATGAGCTAATGCAGACATGGCTAGCTTATCTCGATCATGGGTCAGGAAATTCTTATGGCGTTAGAAATGAAATTTGTAATGTCAATTCTCTGAGAAGGTTCGGGGTGAGACTTGAGGTTCCATGCATGAAGCAATGAATTTCTTGTTCTGCTGTCATTTGGGTACATCTTAACCTAAGCCCACTTTCAATCAGTACCATGGCTTGCCATTTCCTCAGGTTGATTATCCTGGAGCCTGCCTTAGGCCTACTCATTAAGTGTTCAATATCCTCAAAGGACCAAGTGAGGGTAGCATTTGCACCATTTTCAAAAATATGTTCCTCAGGCCTTCTGTTAGACACTGAAGTTTTGTCATTTTGACCCCATTGTTTTCTGAGGGTGGCAACTGATCCTTTTGTTTGGTCTGGGGTTGCATGATGGTTTGTCAGCTGTGCAGGAATTGAGCCATCGGCCTACACACCAATCCCTCATTATAACTGTTGGATGTGAGATTTTTCATTTCTGTGTAAGTTCCTCTTTCTTAAGTTTGTTTCATTACCCTTTTTTACCATGCAGGTAAATAATGCAACCAACTTCATATTGTCTCACTGGAGTTCACAAACCAAGCATCTTGAGAACATTTAAATTAATTGTGAATTCCATGTAGGCCCAGATGTCATCATAAGCATGCCCTGGCAATGCCCATGTAAGTCCCTGTTTTCACTCTTACAATGGAGCAAAAATGTGAACCCAAACTGAAGGAGTCCCAAGCTGCTGTCAAAGAGACCGGGAGGTAATCATCACCAACAATATCCTGAGCCTTGGTGAGTGAGGCTGTGGCCTTTTCCTTTAAATGGCAATTTTTCTCTGTCTCTTCAATGACTCAAACGTTAGGTTAGTGGTCTGGTTTCTCATCCACCTCTTTCATTTTCCAGATTGTGCAGGACAAACTGGGTTCCATGTCGTTCCAGTCGATCTCCACTCCATCAACTGATTGATTCAGGCCTTGAACATCTTTGATGCATTTGAAGCTCTTTCAGTTCGGGTGTGGTCTGATGTTGTCCATTATGTTACAAGAAAAATTGCAAAGGGTTGGTAAAAGTAAGCTGCATGACTTTGTATGTATGTCATGCTTACTTTTATTAGGTATCCATATCATACAGCATTCCCCTCTCTCTCCCCCCAAGTTGAAAAGCACTGGAGAAAGAGAATATGGACCTATCCATTTTTTGTTTACCTTGTTGATGGCTCTGCAAGAGTATTACTTATTATTATAAGTATTACTTATTGGATCAAAAGATTCATAGGGAGTTTTCCAACTCTATATTATTTGCTGTTATCACAACAGAATTTTAAGCAATGAATGAGAAAAGGAAAGTGTAGATCCACTCAAGAGACTTGGGGAAATGCCAAATGTCTCTTTGGAATAGGATATTGCTAGCTGGAGTGTTCTCGTTTTTTTTTATCGGCATGCTGGAACTGATATTCTTACTTGGAAGTACCTTACAATCTGTTGGGTTCTACTTAGTTCTGGACACTGAATTCTATGGTGAATTAGGTGTTTATTTGTGATGGATCCGGCCTATGTAGGCCATCAGACGAATTTGAAGGACAGACTATGTTTCTTCAGAAGCATAGAAGACCTCCAAAGAAATTATGTAAAAAATCTAAGCTTGACATGTCTCCAGTTCAGGGAACTTGAGAAAAATCCCAGAGAACATTTTTCATTTGGTGCTCCTTATACAGTAGAAAGAAGATTCCAAGAGATGTGGTTGTAAAAGTCTGGATTATCTGAGTTTTGACTCTTAGAATAGGAAGTGTTAGAGTGTCAGAAAAGTTCAGGTCTCAAGGAAACTAATTGAATCTCTAAATTCCCCATGCCCTTTATTTGAGACTCAATAAATAGTGTTTCCTACTTGCCTGTTATGCTTTCTGCATTTAATTTCATCCTCCTTTATATGACAAGTTTTCTCCCATCATGGGACTGCTTCATGCAATTGTATCAGAATTCTGCCATGTCTTCATGGTTCTGGAATTGAAACCAGGATTCATGAACCAAGCCTTGAATTGTAGTTCTACTTCTCTTCCTGACATAGTGCTACATGTATTTGAGCTCATGGTATAGCGAGGAAACTGATCATATCTGCATGGTGGGACTTAACTTTCCAGGCTTGACTCAACGACCTTCCTCTCCCTGTCCGAGACCCTGACCCTGGAGCTACGGCTTCTCTTCCATGCCTAGAAATTCATGGTTTCAGGAAGGCCATATTCCAAGGAAAAAGTTTTGGTGAGCCCAAAGAAAGGTTTGGTGGTATCTAGGTTCCCTTCTTTATTCTAAGTATTGTCATGTGTGGGTTGGTCAACAGAAGAGTTGAAGAAGAGAAACTTTTGGAAATATAATTAACTCTTGCTTCACTGATTCATGGTGGCTTTCATTTCCAGTCTTTTGCTTTATGCTGCAAAGCATTCAAAGTTTTTTCTCTTTTTTCACATGGAAATGAGATGATGCTGACAATGACAATTGTGGACCTTTTTAAGTCTGCAAGAGAAATGATTATTCTCTAAATTGATTTATGAGGAGAAAGATAAGATAAAATTCCCTTTTGTTAAGTGCCACCAATGATCACTTTAACTCAGGATAAGACTTGCTGTTGATGCTTCCTTTTTAATTCAGGGAAGTTGCATCAGGTGATCATATTCCAGTTACAGTAGGTGCAACTTATTGTAATTATGTTGCTGCAAGGAAATTTGATGACATTAAGCGGCCAATAACAATAAGGGCAGTGATCAATGCTGCTGCCTGTTAGCCTTGGTTTTTGAGATTTGCTCATTATCCAGCTGATAATAACCAGTGATCACAGGAAGTGGCATCTATTGCATATTCTGCTTCAGGGCTGTATATTTGGGGAGTATTGATGGACTGTCTTAATATATTCTGTATTTCCAGGCTTTATGGCCACCATGTATGAAATTAAAGCCTCAAATCAGTGTAAGTCTCTCTATTCCATTACAAGGAAAGGAAAGCTCTAATATTCGTTCTTGCCTTCAGGGACTAGGGATGTTGAACTGTTGTGTAGAATGCTACATAAGCAGATTTAGAGAAGTTTCATGTGAAGTCTCTCTAGACCACATTGTGCAGACAGATGTGGGGAGCCTATGTGGAATTCAGGTTGGGACCGATTAGATATGATTATATGATGATAACTTCATTTGTCAATTTTTATTCTTTCAGCTGAGCATGCCTTTGGGGGATTCCATCAGTATCAGCTAGTGGCATTCCTGTTTTTTATTGTTGCTGGTAAGATCAATGATGCATCACACCTCTCTCCTTTGGAATTTCATTTAGATACACTGCTTGGTTTTTAATTTTACTTGATGGTGCATATGTGTTGAGAACTTAGAGGTTTTATTTTCTCCAGAAAATAAAACATGTTTTCTGAATGGAATTGTAGATCTCCCATTTTGATTGTGAGACAAGTTCTGAAAAGGTGAAAAATTGTGGTATCTTATGCTGCATAAATTAGTCCATGATGGGGCAATGCCTGTGCACATGTCCATAGGCATTAGGACATCTGAAGGTGGAATGAGACTAGAAATTAAAAAAAATTGTGGGTGCTGTGCAAGCAGTTTTCCCCGAGAAGCAAAACATTTAGGGGAATATTGTATGAGAGAGACTGCTTTAGTCTGACCTTGGTCTTTGAGTGTTCTCTCTCCTCCATTGTTTTATATTGGAATGCTCTCAAGTGGTCATATTTTTCATATGACTGTTGAGGTGAATTCAAACTTAAATCTGTTTGTAAAATTCACACTTTCAAGCCTTTTGGCAAGTGAAAAAGAAAACAATATGATGAGTAAAAGTGCGTAAGTTTGCTAAGTGAAAAGCAAGCAAAGAAGCACCCCTTCCTCCTCCCTTTTAGTGCAAGTTTGCATCACCCATGATATTCTTAGCCAAGTATGGAAATAAGAATGTGAAATGCATTGCTGTGCTATATGGGAGTGTCAAGAGCAACTTATGGAATATCAAATGTGTCTTTGTTTGGATGTTTGCTCACGTCTTCACTTTTTTTTGTAGTCTATGTCAAATGCAACAGCCATGTATCATGCCCCTGCCACATGACATGCTTCTTGTTGTGGTTCTATTTTCACAGTCCCATATGCAAATGCTTTCAACTAAATGCAGGCATGAATTTGGATATGACCTCAATCTCATGGTTAATTTTATTGGCAACCATTGATGTCAAATCAGTAAGAATTAAAATGATCAATTGGAAACATCCATATCCAAGCCCAATAATGAAGTATGAGAGTCAATGTAGAAATGTAGAAATCCTAATTTTACACTGCCTTGCAGGACTGTCAAAAGTTACATGATGAAAATCAGATGATACAAGCCTGTCTGATGCTGGACTTTCAAGGTATAAATATTTGTTGGAAGAAAAGTAAATAATGTAAC